TTTTTCACAATGTCCAGCATACAAGCAAAAGTTGTAAAATTTGTGAAGCAGGAAAAAGTAAAAAGTGAGAGGGCGAAAAAAAGAAAAATTGATTTACAGGAGATTGAGATAATGAAGTTAGCACAGAAGAATTTTAAAATGATTATTAATATATTAAAATAGCAAAAGATGGGAATAATGGTAAAAATATAAAGAAATTTCAAGAGAAAATTGGAATCTATTTTAAAAATAAAATACAAATAAATAAAAGAGAAGTGCACTGATCTCCAGGAGACCTCAGGAAATACCAAAAGAAATTTTTTTAGGCTGAAGTAAAACGATCCAACAAAAGTACAGAACTGCAGGAAATAATGAAGAGCACTTAATAATGTGTAGCATGTACATATACATATGGAGACATACATTCACACACCTTTTTATATATACATTTATGTTGTTCTATATTTCACATAATGAAATAAACCAAGCAACAATAACAATTGTTGGGAATTTATAAATGTGGAGAATATTGGTAGACACTACTTTAGCTAAGTGATCAAGGTTAATATCACACACACACATAAAAAGTTTAACATCACCAGTAATGCATGTTAATATAATATGTTCCCTGATGAGATGCTTTAAAAATGCCTAACCTCAATCTAATCTTGAGACAACAAGAAACAGCCAACCTGAAAAACTTCCTCAAAAATAACTAATTCTCTTCAAAGTGTCAAGTTGATGAAAAATAAGGAAAGACTGAGAAACTGCCACAGATTGAAGGCAACTAAGAAGATATGAAACCTACAATGCAAGGTGGCATCTTAGATTGGATCTGAAACAGAGAAGGTTCATTTGTGGAAAAACCAGGTGAAATCCCAACCAATCTTTATTTTAGTTACAATTTTATATGAAGGATAATTTCTTAGTTTTGGTAAATGTTTTATAATGTTAACATGAGGGGAAATTTTTGTAAAGGGCATATTGCCAACCTCTAAGATATCCCCCAATGATTTCTGCCTCCTGGTATTTATAATCTTGTGTAATACCTAACCCTTCAGGATGGGCTGAAAATAGTGATTTATTTCTACCTAATAATGTGGCAGAGTGGTGAAATTCACTTCCAAGGTTAGGTTACATAAAGACTGTGGCTTTTGTCCTGAAGCCCTCTTGCACTCTTACTTGCTTTGCTCACTCTGAAGGAAATTTAGCTATGATATTGGAGCTGCCCATATAGAAGAAGTAACTGATGCCTCTAGCCAACAGCTATGTGAGCAAGCTTGGAAGCATATCCTCTCAGTCAAACACAGCTGAGATTAGACCATAGCTACAGCCAATACCTTGTTTGCAACCTTGTGAGGGACCCTGCGCCAGAAGCACCGAGCTAAGCCATGCCTAGATTTCAGACCCACAGAAACTTGGGGATAATATTGTTTTAAGCTGCTATATTTCAGGGTAATATGTTACACATCAATAAATAAACTACTATTTTTTTGCAACTCCTCTTTAAGTTGAAAATTATCTCAGAATAAAAAAGTTTAAAAATATTTAGTACTTGCATATGTTCTATGCAAACATAGTCATGCCTTGCCTAATGACGGAGACACATTCTGAGAAATGCATCCTTAGACGATTTTGTTGTACAAATATCACAGAATGCACTTACACAAACCTAGATGGTATAGCCCAGTGGTCGGCAAACTCATTAGTCAATAGAGCCAAATATCAACAGTACGACGATTGAAATTTCTTTTGAGAGCCAAATTTTTTAAACTTAAACTATATAGGTAGGTACATTGTTATTAATTTAATTAGGGTACTCCTAAGGCTTAGGAAGAGCCCTACTCAAGGGGCCAAAGAGCCGCATGTGGCTCGCGAGCCGCAGTTTACCGACCACTGGTAGCCTAATACACACCTACGCTCTATGATACAGCCCATTGCTCCTGGGCTATAAGCCTGTATAGTGCCTTACTGTATTAAATACTGTAGGCAACTGTAACAAAATGCTAAATATTTGTGTGCCTAAACATATCTAAATATAGAAAAGGTACAGGAAGCCTAACCCGTTTGGCTAAGTGGATAGAAGGTCAACCTGTAGACTGAAAGGTCCCAGGTTCGATTTCGGTCAAGGGCATGTACCTTGATTGCAGGCACATCTCCAGTAGGAGGTGTGCAGGAGGCAGATGATCGATGTTTCTCTTTCATCTATGTTTCTAACTCTCTATCTCTCTCCCTTCCTCTCTGTCAAAAAAAAAAAAATCAATCAATTAAAAAAGAAAAAAAGAAAGAAAAGGTACAGTAAAAATATGGTGTAAAAGATTTAAAATGGTACACCTGTACAGGACACTTACCATGAATGTGACTAGAACAAGTTATGAGTGAGTCAGTGAGTGAGTGGTAAGTGAATGTGGAGGCCCACTTTATACACACTGTAAACCTAAACTACACTAAATTTATTTTTAAAACACCCTTTTTCTTCAATAATAAATTAACAGCTTACTGTAACATTTTTTTACTTTAACATTTTTAACAGCTTAAAAACACATTGTATGGCTGCACAAAAATAGTTTTTCCTCCATATTCTTATTCTATAACCTTCTATTTAAAACTTTAAAAATATTTTTTACTTTTTAAAACTTTTTGTTAAAAACTATGATATAAACACACACATTAGCCTGGGCCTCCACAGGATCAGAATCATCAATATCATTGTCTTCCACCTTTACATCTTGTCCCACTGGAAGGTCTTTAGAGGTAATGACACACATGGAGCTGTCATCTCTTATGATAAGAATGCCTTCTTTTGAAATACCTCATGAAGAACCTGCCTGAAATATGTCCATGGTGGCTTGCTTGGGTGATTATTTTTATCATAGATTTGCTTGTAGGTAGGTGATGCACCGTGAACATTCCTCTCAGTTGATGAAAACCCTTCAGTGTTGAGGCCCATGTTTTCAAAAGTTTTAAGGAGCTTGTTGAAGTCTGCAAAGGCTTCTGCTAACCGCTTCACTGTGCATTTTCTTGGGGGTTCCTCTTCTTTTTCTTCTGCAGTTTCCTTTTCTCTTGGCCGCTTCTTCAGCTATGTATTCCTGCTCTAGTTCCAACCACTCCACATTAGTCAATTCCTCAAGAACCACATCTAGGAACTCTCCAATGTCATCCTTATCCACACCCAGATTACAGCTGTTTGTCATCTCAACTTCAACCTTGTTGATTTTTGCAACCTCTTTATCTTTTGGCAAATCCTTTGGAGTCACAGACGTCATTAGGCAATAAGAATTTTTTTAATGAAAAAATTAGTAAAATGCCACCTCCAGCACAATGGTCATTATAATCTTATAGGACCACTGTCATATATGTAACCCATCACTGACCTAAATATTGTTATGTGGTAGATGACTGTATATATACACAAATAAATGTGTTATGTATATATAGTTTGAATTATTTATGGACACTGGAGTCAGACACACCTAGGTTCAAATGCCACCTCCAACACTTAATGGTCATGTGATCTGAGGCAAAACATTTAAGTCTTAGGCTTTTAAAAATCTATAAATTGAGATAATATTATCTGATTATACTGAAAAAAATAATATAGGCCACGGCTAGCATTTAGTACATTCTGAACAAATGGCATTATTAATTCATATTTATAATCATCTATAATTTTCTCATTCAAGGAACTCAGCTCCAATAACTAAGCATTTTATCATTTTGATGAGTTTAAATACTGTACATAAACTTGTCAATCTTTTAATTTTTAAACATTTTTCAAAAATAATTATCAATATTGATTTCTACAATACACTATTATTTGTAACATTGAAACTAGAGATTCACCTTGTTTGTTGTTTGTTTTGCCACAATTCAATTCTCAATCACTAACTTTTAGACATTTCATTTGGACATATGAGTGCCAAAAATATTAAATGACTTATCCAAGAAGATAGTTAGTAGAAGAGCTAGAAGTATAGCTCAAGGTTTGGAGAAACAATATCATGTGATAAACAAACTCTTGCTTTGATTAAAAAGTCTGTATGTGAACGCCCCATCTGCTGCTTACAATCAGCATTATTTGAGAAAATGCTGTTTGCTGACAAAGTAGCAATGTCCATGTCTCAGTTTCCTGGAGGGTAAATATGGATGCCACCATCAACGCATAGGATTATCATGAGTATTAAATGAGATAACATATACAAGACCCTCACTGCCAAGAATACCATATGTGGATGTTGAAAAAACATTTTCTCCCCTTTCTCCTTTCCAAGGCCAGTGCTTTCCACTATGACATGTTGCCTACTCAACTATAAGATGGAAACATTAGCCATAACAGAATGTTAGGAGTCTCGTGTGAGAGACTAATGTAAAACTGAATTAATGACAGTCTTAAATTTAGGCTGAATAATATCAATCTAATGCATTTATCCGAGCTGGTTTTTCTTTCCTATAATACACTGTGAAGTAGGGCATCACATCAGGGAGTACAGTATTTTGATTTGCATTACTGGTGAGGTTAAACCTTGATTACTTGGCTAAAGTGATGTTTGCCAGAATTTTCCACTGAAAAGTTACCTTTTTACATTGTAAATACTAAATATTTGAGGGGAATCATAAAATGGAAACGAAGAGAGGGGGGAAAAAGGAGAGCGCACATGCAGGAGAGGGAGCATGTGCATGCATCCTTTCCCAAAGCCTGGTCTTCAGCATATCTTCAACACAGTAAGTAAGGAACTAGTAACTTGTACCACTGCATGATCAAAGAGTCTTCTCAAAATAATTCAATGTTTTAAATACTTGAAGCCAAGATTATCAAAAGCCCTTTGAAAGTATAAACACATTACTTTCAGATGTCTTTACTTTGGTATTTATCTCTTGAAAGACTTCCAGCAGGATCATTAGATACAATCTGCCCTAAGAGAATCATACTGCTCCCCCCCAAAAAACTTACATTTGCTTAAATATTTAAAACCCGTTATGACAAATTCCATCAGCTTGCTTGTTATCACAAAGAGACTCACCGATCTGCAGATACTGGAGTCCTTTCTGGATTGTAATATTCTTCCAAATCTGAAAAGTTCACTTGTGTTTGCTTTGAGGTTACTATCTGGCTATTCTGAAAACGTATGGTTTTCAAGTCCTGAGAAATAATATTACTATCTGGAAGAGACTGTATGACTTGAAAGTCCGGTGAAGATTTAGGTCCTAGAGAACCTAAAGATTCTTGATCATGTACTATAAGTTTACCGGTCAGTAATTTGGAGGTTGGTTCCAATGATCTTGAAGATATAGTTTGTAGGTCAGAGTTAAACTCACTATTCATCCTTGTTTTAGAAGCTGAATCCAATGAAAGAAACCTTTTATCTAAGGTTCCACTATCCAACTTGGAGGAAGTCTTGGGAGAAAGAGTTATACGAACAAAAGAAAGTACCTTTTTGTTTGAAGGTGGAGTAGATGGAGTAGTTACTAATGTATATTGATCTGGCAATGATTGGGAAACCACATCATTGATTTTATTAGTTTCAACGTTTAAATTAGAAATGTATGATTTAGGCTCTTGTTGATCCTTGTTTTCTACTACATAATCCTGACCTTGAGGAAGGGGGGAATATTGTTTTCTCATTTGGTGATCTATATCAGGGCCCCTGCTTTGTTCAAAGAGCTGACGCTGTTCAAGAAATATAGAAGAAGGAAGGTCTGGAGCTATATAACTCTGACCTTGAGGAAGGGGAGAGTGGCTTATTCTCATCTGATGATCTACCTGTGGGGTTTTGCTTTGTTCAAAGAGTTCTCGGTTTTCAAGAAAAATGTGACAAGGAAGATTTGGAGCTACATAATGCTGATGTGAAGGAGGAGGAGGAGGAGGTTTTCTTATATAGTGATCTGCATGTGGGACTTTGCAGAACTCAGGTTGTTCAAAAAATATGGGTGGAGAATTTGGAGTTACAGATGCTCTAGTATACTGGCTATCTTCAGTAACACCAACCTTAAGAACAGAGGAATCTGAAAAGCATTTAGAATGTCGGTGAGATGAAAAAGTGATGGAGGTAGTAAACTTTTTCATGGATTCTGGGGACAGCATTTGTGATGAAGAATGACAATCCATTTCTTCAGGTAGCACATAAGTAGGTTCTACTAATTCTGACAGCCAAGGGTCCATATTTTCACGGAATGGCATTCGAAAACCCTTGCTAATTTTGAAGTCATCAGTTGTAAAGTTCTGAATTGGGGAACGACTTTGTAACTGCAAGGAATTCCAAACTTTGAAACGGGTGTTGCTCTGGTCTAGTGATTTGGAAAGGTTGATGTGCCTGCTTCTCCATGATGATGGGCTCCGGTGTCCTCTGATAATTTCCAAGGGTTCAGGTGATCTGAAGATACAAGGATGGCTGTCCAACTGTGATTGTTTAGGAGTTAGAGTCCTGAAACATCCTTTCTCATGGCTCTCAATAATAATATGACCACAGACAGCTTCTGGATGGCATCTTATTCCCTGTGGACTCCGTAAACCCTAGAAAATATAAAGATCTTACTTGAAGTAGTCCAAATAGTTATACAAAAATCACTTTGCTGATATTTTACAATAAAACAGGTAAGAACATAAGAATAAGACAATTAATTATAGAATAAAATGGCCCATGACCACGCAGTTAATTTCTTTTAAAAATTTTTCACTGAAGTAACAAAAGCAAAGACTACTATTGCCCCCCAGTAGTAATCTCACCCAAGTTTTAATCAAATACCTACCTTATCCATGGGCCTTGATTTATTTTCTTGGCTGCACCCCAACAAATGAGGGGATGCTTATGAACAGGATTTCAAACTATCATTTATCTACTGATGTTCTCTTTGGCATTTTTGCTTTACTCAAATGTTTCATATGCTAGGTGACCAAAATCCTGCCAGTGGCTGTTGATATCTGCACCATCTAGACAGTGCCCTTGATTTTCCCTAAACACTAATGCCTAGGCATCACAGGGTCAATTGTGATGAGAAAACAGCTATTTTGAGTTGCTGCCTAGATATTTTACAGTATGACAACCCTGTTCACACTCAGAGCACAGACAGTTAGATAAGGCCCTGAATTTAGGATTCCTGCCAGAAGTTCCCTCTTTGCTTTTCCCACGCCACCTTTAAAAATAACCACTTAGAACTGAGTCTGTGAAAAGTCACTGACCGCCACTTCAACCATCTTATAAGTAGTTAGTGCTTGCTACCCTGCTCTTTATCTCCTGCTCATGAGGAGGACTGTCCATCCCTCAGCCTGCCCACTCACCCAGGCTTCTGAGATTTGTAAGTAATAACTCCTGTGACTTTACTTCCTTTGTGTAAGTGTACTAAAACTATGCCTTTAATCAAAATGACCCTAGGGCAGGGGTGGGCAAACTTTTTGACTCGAGGGTCACAATGGGTTCTTAAACTGGACCGGAGGGCCGGAACAAAAGCATGGATGGAGTGTTCGTGTGAACAAATATAAATTCAAAGTAAACATCATTACATAAAAGGGTACAGTCTTTTTTTTTTTTTAGTTTTATTTATTTGCCCACGGCTGCCCTAGAGGTTTTTCAGTTCCCCAAAGTGGAAGTTCTGATGTTGAGAAAGCTATCTGCCTAGCCCATGTGGGTAGTATGTGCCTACATTCAAGAGATTATAATCTGAATTTTTTAATTTAATACACCAGCTACAGGCTCCACAACACAGCATACTACAAAGAAAAAAAGAGCAAGCATATAACTAGATATAGTAGGAATATTGCGATTACCAGACAAGGAATTTAAAATAACTATGATTAATATGCTAAGGGCTCTAATGGATAAAGTGAATAGCATGCAAGAACATAAACACAATGTAAGCAGAGAGATGAAAATCCTAAGAAAGAATGAAAAAAGAAATGCTAGAGATAAAAAACACTAACAGAAATGAAGAATGCTTTGATGGGTTCTTTAGTAGACTGCACATGGCCAAGGCTAGAATCTTGAGCTTCAGGAGAGTTCAACAGAAACCTCCAAAACTAAAATGTAAAAGAAGGAAAAACCCCAGACCAAAACATCAAATGAGTCCAGGACAAGATATTAATACATTAACAACAAAAATACCAAAAAGAGAAGAAAACCAAAAAGAACACCCCCCACAAAACAAAACACCCCCCACAAAACCAGAAATACTACAACTAGACATAACATTTTCAAAGCAAAGAAAAGCAAACATAAAGAAAAAAAAATCTTGAAATAAGCCAAGGGGACAAAACACCTTATCTACAGAAAAGCAAAGAATTACACCTGACTTTTCCGCAGAAATCATGCAAGCAAGAAGAGAATAGAGTGAAGTATTTAAAATGTTGAGAGAAAAAAATCCAACCCACTTAGCATTCTATACCCTTCAAACTGAACAAGAAATAAGACTTTCGCAGACAAATTAAAATAGAGGGAATTTATGCCAGTAGATGCAACAAATGTTAACAGAAAAACTTAACAGAGAAAAATACTGGTCAAAAACTCAGATCTACATAAAGAAAGAAAGAACATCAAAGAAAGAAACAGTGAAGGTAAAAAAAACCAAATACAACCTTTTTCTTATACCAAACTTATCCAAAAAAATAGTTTGAAACATTGCTATGTATGCATATATGTACATGTACGTGTGCATGCATACTTGTGTGTGTGTATAAACTGAATGACAGGAATGACAGGAAGGAAGAATTAGGATTATTTTATTAGAAGATACCACGCTACCTGTGAAGTGAGTGGTACAGTGTTATTTAAAATTGATGCAGTCGTTAAGTATATGATACAAATTCGAGGGCAATCATTGAAAATGTAGAAAATGTATGTATAACTGGCATCCTAAAAAATGAGAGAAAATGTAATCATAAAATGCTCAATTAAAACCACAAAGGGCCCTAGCCAGTTTAGCTCACTTGATAGAGCATTGGCCTGCAGACTGAAGGATCCCAGGTTCAATTCCGGTCAAGAACACATGCCCAGGTTGCAGGCCCGATCTCTAGTAGGGGATGTGCAGGAGGCAGCTGATCAATAATTCTCTCTCATCATTGATGTTTACATCATTCTCTCCCTCTCCCTTCCTCTCTGAAATCAATAAAAATATAAATATATTAAAAAAATAAAAAATAAAACCACAAAAGGAAGAAAGAGTGGAAGACAAAACTGGAAACAAAGAACAAGGGCAACAAGTAGAAAACAGTAACGAAGGTGGAAGATACTAACCAACTATATCAATAATTGTTTTAAAAGTAAATTGTTTAAGCCTTGGCTGGGTGGCTCAGTTGGTTGGAGTGTTATCCCATCCACCAAAAGATTGCAAGTTTAATTCCCAATCAGGGCACATACCTAGGTTGTGGGTTCAATCCCCCAGGGCACATACAGGAGGCAACAGGTCAATGTTTCTCTCTCACATCAATGTTCCCTTCTCTCTCTAAAATCAATGAAAACATATCTTTGGGTGAGGATTTAAAAAAAAAAAGTCTACACATACAATAGCTATATTGACTTTTGCAGATTTAATAATAATAAGAGCTGACAATTACTGAACACTAATTAGATATCACACAGTCTACTAAGTATTTTATAGACATTATTTCCTATAAGCCATACCCAAACTCTCTAAGACAGGTATTATTACACCGTATTACTACTCATAATAGCAGACCAAATGCCCCATCAACAAGAGAATAAACTGATAATTTCACACACTAAACTACTTACAAAAATAAAAAATAAACTATAGCTACATAGAAAAATCTCAAAAAACCTAAGATTATATGAAAAACAATTCTCATAAGTATATCATGTTAATTCCATATATTATAGAATTAAAAACCATACTGAACAGCAAGAAAATCAACACATGTTATGATAAGTAGTAAAGGAGATATGACTGGAGAAGGGTACACACAGGACTTCAGTGTCATTGGTGACATTCTATTTCTCAAGCTGAATGGCTGATATACAGGAATTTCACTTTATTCCTTACATACATGTTTCATATCTATTTTGTAATCATGAAACAGTAGGAGGAAAATAAGTACTATTAAAAAGGAAGTGGTTTATACATAGACTATTTTAGGTCCGTGTTCCTAAGCAGAGGATATACATCTGAAAATAGCTGGACTTTATCAGCATCTCAAGATATCACCTTCAAGAGAAATAAGAGTGACAACAATCTATACTAATAAAAGGGTAATATGCTAATTAGACCAGACGTCTTCCGGACCACCTTCCAGACAAAGCCATGGTGGCAGGGCCGAAGCAAAGGCAGTTAGGGGTGATCAGGCCGGTAGGAGAGAACAGTTAGGAGGATCAGGCTGGCAGGGGAGAGCAGTTAGTGGGGTCAGGCCAGCAGGCAGGTGAGCGGTTAGAAGCCAGTGGTCTGGGATTACAAGAGGGATGTCCAACTGCCGGATTGGACAGGGTACAGGCCTGGATTGGACAGGGTACAGGCCAGGCTGAGCGACACCACTCCCACTCCCCAAAATATTGATAAAAGTAATCCTCTTATTTCTCAAAGGAGGTAAATTTTTTCAACAGATTAATTTGGAATAAATCAAAACCTATAGAATCGAATCCTTAATCTTTTGAAGAAGACTCTTAACACTTTAAGCCAAAGACTATCAGTTACTCAGCTAGAGTCATCAACACCCAAATAAGAGATCCAAATTCTACTACTATTTCTTTCACATTTTCTTTTCATTTCTAGATTTCTTTTATACCTTGGACAAGTCAGTTCTCTCATGGCCAAACAACTTTGCTTTGATCTCTTCTACTTTTCTCCTGTCATCTTCATTTAATTCTGAAATGGAGTAGCCACACTCACGAGCCATATTAAACTTCAGATTCCAGGCTAAAGAGAAAGCACAAAAACACTTGAGATAATACAATGCAAAAGTGAGAATTTTTCAATGATTATAAGAGCACAAAAATCATCATTATACCTAATTTAATGGCTCCCATATGCTTAGCAAAAAGTGTGTGCTCTAAATTATGACAAACTATTAGAAGTTCTAGAGAGAGATCATTTCATTGAAGAGTCTGATTTTTTTAAACACACATTCTACAGATTTTTCTCCAACAATGCCATTTTAATTAAATATGGTATTCAATCATTTTTATCCCAATGTTCCTTTTAATCAGGACAGTCCCTTTGTCTTCCCCATTTGCTCCGGCTACAATTTCTGCCACTTCCACAAGAGCTGATATTTTAAAATAAATAAAACTTGGGGACTTTTTTTTAGCAAATCAAAATATGCTTAAGTGATAAAAGGAATTGCTTAGGCAGTTCATCTCAAGGAAAGATTCCCAGGTAGGTCTGTATTGCTTATGTTACCCTTCCAAATATATTCCCCATATTGTCCTGAATATTTTTTAATGGAATTCTACTATTAGAAATTAAAAGGATTAATAAATATTCTTTCAACCTCTAAGCCAAGTTCTAGTGTGAAATACCTTGATTAGTTTTTTCCAATGTCTACCTAAAATCTGCTCCTAGAATTTTATTATCAAAGGGGATGAGAAAGTAAATGCAGTTTTATTATTATACAGTGGTTTAGAGCAGAGAAAATTGGGTGGTTTTTTTCTGCCTCCAAAATAAGGACACTATCATGGGAGGATTAGGGAAAACATGAGTGCTTTGGGAGTTAGGAAACTTCAAGCTCTCTACTTACTCTCCTCTCCTTCTGACATCAGAACTAACTTTTCCTAAGTCCCTAAACTCAGACTAGCACTATTAATCCTGTGAGTTAGCTGCATTTTTGGTTAAATGGGCTTATTCTGGATGCAGAAAATGCAATCATCCTAACAGTTCTATAAGAAAATAAATTTAGAATGCCAAATACTTAACTTTAAATAAATTACTAAACTACAATGTTTATAAGCTTCATCTGCCTTTATAACAAATAATCAGTTCCTACCTCGTGCTCGTACCCGGCATTGCTCTTCCTCTGCATTTCTGAGAATTTGTTTAGCATGATTCAATGAGGATTCACATTTCAGAAGGTTTTTCACGTGTGCAGCCAGTGAATCCACACTACTACCACGCCCTTCATCACTCTCTGACACACACTCTTCCTCTCTACTATCTGTCATACTTGTCTTCGGTGAAGTACATGGAAACAAGTTTAGAAGAACATCAGAAACTGATTCAAAGGAATTACTGTCCCATGAGCAGGAACTTGCATCACTACTTGAATCACTTTTTATGATAGTCATCATAGGGATAAGAATTTTATTCCCAAGGGTTCCACTACACCCTTCAGGTTCAGATCTCATTACAGGTCTGGCTGCTTTATATTGCCTACGAGTTTCATCTAATGCCATTCTGGCTTTGATTTCTGCTTCCTGTAGAGGACTTCTAACTGCAGTTGACCTAACAAACTCCCAATTTTCAATGTCTCCCTGGCATTTCAGATTTGTCTGTGTACTAATATCCTTCTGTAGGTACTTGTTTGGATTCTCTTTTGTGAATGACTGTCTCTGAGGCAAATCAATGTTAGATTTATCAGTTGTAGGGGGTTCTTTGAAGCAAACCACCTTCTTAGATTGAATAAATGAAATGTCATTAACATCTCTGAATGGCACAAGGGGAGCAGGAAAATTGCATCGTTTCAGTGCTATATTTTCTGCCTCCATTAAAAGTGTCCGAATCTCTTTAAGAGTTTTAGAACCATTATCTGTACCCTGGAATTCCTCAGAGCCAGTATCTTCAAAACCTGAAGGTTCTGGCTTATTTATTACAACTCTACCATCAGCTTGAGAATTTAAGGGCATATTGTTTGACATAATACTAGAGTTAGAAGAATCCAAATGATCTTTTGGCTTTTGGACATGGTCTGAAGAAAACTTGTGCTTCTCACTATGTGAATAAGTATCAGGGTAAACGGCTGATAACCCAGTAATCTGATCAGCTTGCCTAAGACCACTTGAGAACTTCAGGGCATCTTTAGTTAGATGTCCATTTGGCAAATTCTGTTCACAGAATTTATTTTGTTTTTCTCTATGTGAAAAAAAATGAGGAGGAGCTGTTGGTAACACAGTTTTTTGGTCTGCTGGTTTAGGAATTGTTGATACTGTCAGTACATCTTCAGTTAGATGTTTGTCTGACAATTCCTGCGGACAGACAATATTAGATTTTTCTCTGTGTGAATAGGAACTAGGAAGAGGTATTGGTACCCTAGAATTCACGTCAGTTGATTCAGGAACAGATGAGATCTTCTGAATATCTTCACTATGTTGTCTAGTTGGCAAATGCTGTTTAAAGAAAATACTGGGCGTTACTCTCTGAGAGTGAGAATTAGGAAAAACTGTCAGTAACGGAGTCTGCTGGCCGTTTGGTTCAATCACAGCTAAATTCTTGGGTTTCTCTATCTGTGCATAGGAAATGAGGGGAGCTGTTGGAAACTCAGTTTTCTGGTCATCTGGTAAAATCACAGTTGAAATCCTGGGTTTTTCTTTATGTGAATAAGAACTAGACGATCCTTCTGGTATCTCAGTCTTCTGGTCAACTGGTCCAGGAAGAGCAAAAACTTTGAAAGCTTCCTCGGTAATATCTGGCAACTCCTGCTGGTAAAAAATATTGCCCTTCTCTCTATATGAGGAGGAACCTGAGGGGATTATTCGTATCCCAGTCTTCTGGTCAGTTGGTCCAGGAACAGCTGAAACTTCCCAAGTTTTTTCAGTAATATCTGGCAACTCCTGGTAAGAAATGATGGGGCCCTCTCTATATGAGTAGGAAGAAGAGGGCACAATTCGTACACCAGTCTTCTGGTCAACTGATCCAGGAATTGCTAAAAGTTTTGAAGCATCTTCATTATGATCTGGCAATTCTTGCTGATAAGAAATGATAGGCTTCTCTCCAGGAGAGTAGGAAATAGAGGTTACTACTGGTATCCCAGTTTTCTGCTCAGCTGGTCCAGAAACCCCTAAAATTTCTAAAGCCTCTTTAGTAAGATCTTGCTGGTAAGAAATGATGGGCTTCTCTCTGTGAGAGTAGGAAGTAGAGGATACTGTAGGTAACCCAGTCTTCTGGTCAGCTGGTCCAGTAGAAGAAACATTCAGAGCCTCTTCTGTGAGATGGGTATCTGGTAAGGCCTGTTGGTAAAAAATAATGGACTTCCCTCCAGGTGAATAGGAACTTGGAGGTACTGTTGGTATCCCAGGCTTCTGATCACCTGTGCCAGGAACAGCTGAGACTTTCAGAGCCTTTTCAGCTAGCTGACTATCTGGCAACCCTTGTTGGTAGAAAATACTGGACTCTTCTCCGGGTGAGTAGAAACTAGAAGGTTCTGATGGCAACCCAGTCTTCTGGTCAGCTGGTCCAGAAACAGTTGAAACTTTCAGAGCCTCTTCAAGTCGAAGACTATCTGGCAAGGCCTGTGGTGAGATAATAATATGCTTCTCTCTATGAGGATAGGAAGTAGAGGGTAATGTTTGTATCCTAGGCTTCTGGTCAGATGGTCCAGAAATGGTGGAAACTTTCAGGGCCTCTTCAGTCGGATGACTATCTGCTAATGCCTGTTGGTAGAAAGTACTGGACTTCTCTTCAAATGAGAACCCAGAGGAGCCTGGTGGTATCCCAGTGTTCTGCTCACCTGGTCCTGGAACAGATGAAACTTTTAGAGCCTCTTCAGTGAGATGACTATCGGGAAACTCCTGCTGGTAAAAAATGATGGGTTTCTCTCTATGTGAGTAGGCACTAGATGGTCCTGTTTGTATCCCAGTGTTCTGGTCAGTTTGTCCAGGAATAGATGAAATTTTCTGAGCCTGTTCAGTTAGTTGACTATCTGTCAACTTCTGCTGATAGAAAAAACTGGTCTCTCCATGTGAATAAGTACAGGTTCCTGTTGGTATCCTAGCCTTCTGGTCAGCAAACCTATAAACAGCTGTAGCTTGTTGAGACTGCTCGGTTAGATGACCCCCCGGCAAAGTCTGTTGGTACAAAATATGGGGCTTCTCTCCATGTGAGTAAGAAGTTGAGGTTCCAGTCTTCTGGTCAGCAAATCCAGAGAGAGCTGCAGCTTGTTGAGACTGTTCAGCTGGATGACTAACTGGCAACTCTTGCTGGTAGAAAATACTGGGCTCCTCTCTATGTGAGTAAGCAGAGGATACTATTGGTATGCCTGTGTTCTGCTCTGTGGACCCAGGAGTAACAGAAACTTTCACAGCCTGCTCAGTTAGATGATTTTCTGGAAATGTCTGTTGATAGAAAATATGGGGCTTCTCTCTGTGTGAGTAAGAAGCTGAGGTTCCTGTTGGTATCCCAGTCTTCTGGCCAGCAAATCCAGAGATGGCAGCAGCTTGTTGAGATTGCTCAGTTAGATGGTTCTCAGGCAACGGCTGTTGATAGAAAATATGGGGCTTCTCTCTATGTGAGTATAAAGTAGAGGAATCTGTTGGTATCACCGTCACTTGATCAGCTGGTCCAGGAACAAATGAACCGTTCAGAGCCTGTTCAGTTAGACTGTCTGGCAGCAGTGGCTGAGAAAAAACATTGTGCTTCTCTCTATGTGTATAGGAACTAGAAGGTACTGTTGTTTTCTCGCTCTTCTGATCAACAGGTCCAATAACAGCTGAAACTCTTAGAGCCTCTTCAATTTGATGACTGTCTCTCAAGGCCTGTGGGTAGAAAATGTTGGGCTTTTCTCTTAGTGAGTAGGAACTAAAGGGTACTGTTGAAATTCCAGCCTGCTGGTCAGCTAGTTTTGGAACAGGTAAGGCTTGTAGAGTCTCTTCAGTTACATGACCATTTGCCAATCTCTGTTGGTAGAGAGTATTAGTATTCTCCACAGAAGATCTTACAGCCAACTGAGAAAAGTCCTCAGAAGACAAGGGTAAATGAGATCCAATGCCTGAATCTCCAGAAGTGGTAGTGATGTCGGCTTTCAAGTTGGATTGGGTAATTTCACTTATGCCTGCTTTAGAAATATCTCCTAAAGAAAAAGAAATTTGTTAATAGTATATATTGCTTTAATTGAAAAATATTTCTTGCCCTGGCTGCTTTAGTTCAATTGGTAGGAATGTTATTCCATACACTGAAAGGTCACAGGTTCGATTCCCAGTTAGGACACATAACCAGGTTGTGGTTTCAATCATTGGTTGGGATACATACGACGGGCAACTTATCGATGTTTTCTTTTTCTCTCTCTCCACCCCGCCTCCCCTATCCCTTTCTCTCTAATATCAATAAAAACATGTCCTGTGAGGATTTTAAAAAAAACAACCAAACCTGGTTCCTGGACCCCCATCAGAAAATGAGATTCCATTGGTCTGGGGTAGACCCTATACATTAGTATAAAAGAAAAAAAAAGAAAGAAAGCTTTTCTTCCTTAGGACTTTATATTCTAGAAAGGAACCCTAAAGAAATCCTATATAGCCAAACCGGTTTGGCTCAGTGAATAGAGCGTCGGGCTGCGGACTGAAAGGTCCCAGGTTCAATTCTGGTCAAGGGCATGTACCTTGGTTGTGGGCACATCCCCAGTAGGAGGTGTGTAGGAGGCAGCTGGTTGATGTTTCTCTCCCATCGATGTTTCTAAACTCTCTATCCCTCTCCCTTTCTCTCTGTAAAAAAATCAATAAAATATACTTAAAAAATGGTCCCGCAGATTGGGGCTGAGCAAAATGGGCCAGACATACCCTGGAGCCCTCCCGTGGTCCTTCCCTGGCTGGCCAACCTCCTGCATCCCTCTCTGGCCCCGATCATGCACCAGTGGGGTCCCTCACCCTGGCCTGTGCCTCTCACAATCCAGGACCCCTCGGGATGTCAGAGAGCTGATTTCAGCCTGATCCCGCAGACCAGGCCAAGGGACCCCACTGGTGCACGAGTTCGTGCACTGGGCCTCTAGGACAGCGGCTGCCTACCTTTCAGACCTCAAGGACCACCAGTAGTCTGTGGACCACCAGTTGGAGACCCCTGCTCAAAGGTTTCCCTAACCCCTTCCCCAGCAGAAACGTGTATACTCGTTTTCACAAAATGTTCTTTTTCAGTCGTCGACGAGTATACTAAGAAAATATGGTAAAAAAATATGGTTTATAGGAAGACGAGTTACAAACTGTTTTCATAACCAGCATCAAAAATACTATATAGAACCAAAATAAAAAAATTAGTCTGAAAAAGAAACGTTTTTAACAAAAAAATTGTTGGGGAAGGGGTTAAACTAGCGGCACCAACCTTTCAGACCTTTTGGACCACCAGTGGTCTGCAGACCACCAGTTGGCAACCACTGCTCAAATAGTCAATTAAAGACACCAATATTTACACTCAAAGATAATTATTACAAAGCCATTTAAAGCAGCAATCTAATGCGTAAATAATTTAAATGCTCAACAACAGAACTATAGATTAAAAATGTCAGTATAGACATTTGATGAAATATTATGCAGATCTTTTGGTGATTTTTAAAGAATTTTAAATGTGATGTGAAAATGCTGCCTACTCTGGGATTTGATTTCACACTCCTTATAAGCTAACAAGTTAGCCTTTTACTGTGTCATGTATGCTAGCAGAAGATATGACACTCCTCAATTGCAACAAAATATTTTATTCCATGAGATAGCAAAGGATCATCAGCTTATTTTCATGAGTTTCTCTTTTCCCCTACAAGGGCAATGCAATATGGCTCAGACAAATGCTATACATGCAGTGGGTTTAAGTGGCTCGGCTGATAAGTGTACCCATTATAAGATATGTATTTTTAACTATATGAAACTGTAAACTCTAAAGGTTACACTAAGGAGTTTGAACTTAATTCTATATGGCATAGGGAATTATTGACAGACATGAGCAGATGTGTATTGTAGAAATACAAGTTCTGGATTGGAAAGGGAATACAAAAGTGTAAGCAGTGCTGTCTCATCAAACTTTCTGCAACAATGGAAATTCAGTATATTTGTATTGTCCAAAGAAAGTAAATAACTCTAAATAAAAATAGTTCTAAATAGCAGAGGAAAATAAATGAATGCAATAGAAATGGCAAGATTTGACAAGAAATGCATTCATGTATTTGTTCATTCAAAAAAATAGAGTATTACCTACAACAATCAAGGCTTAACTACAACAAGACTGCACACAAAGACCACAAGGGGGTGCACCAAGAAAGCATAAAAAATGCGGAGACAAAGAAACAGGACACAAATGACAGAAATGGAGGATATAGAGTTCAAAACCACCCTTTTAAGGTTTCTCAAGAACTGTCTAGAAGCCGCCAATAAACTTAGTAAGGTCCTCGAAAAGACTGGTGAGACTGCCGATAAATATAGTGAGATCCTCAAGAAATCTAATGAGACCCTCGATGTTGTGATAAAGAACCAACTAGAAATTAAGCATACACTGACTGAAATAAAAAATATTATACTGAGACCGAACAGCAGACCACAGGAGTGCAAGAATCAAGTC